TAAAAAGTCATGTTTATGTGATTCAACATAAAGAGACAAAAAGTCAATTCAGTTTTGACTCTTTTAAAGACAGTATTGTTTAATATAAAACAAAAATGCAGAAGAATGGTTTGTATAAGGAAAGTAATGTTGTTCAGGCGGGCAATTAAATTTTGACACGTTTAAAAAATGTTGGTTGTTGAAAATGGAGAATTACTTGTAATGTTAGGCCGCTACAAGTAACTCCAGAATTTTAACACAGAGAATAGAGATAAGATAATCAGGCTGTTCAATGTGAACTTGAGTCTTGGAAAAATAAAATCTATTACATGTGTAATAAGTAGTTTAACATATGAAATTAATGTACAAAAGATACAAAAATAAACGTATAGTGGTTCTTGTCCTAAAACCATACGGACATATTCGTAAAGCTGATCTCTTGGTATCGTTGATATATTGATAAACTATACGGTTTGAGGTTAAGATAAAGCTTAAGTGTTAGCTTAGGGTGAGTACGATGGTTAGGGGACTTGGGATCAAATAATAATAATAGGAAATGCTAACACTGTCAATTAACTAAAATCACAGTAGAGTAGTAATACCAACGATAGTTGATAAAACATCCATGTAACACAATTTAAAATAAAAATCTACATGTGGTTGTGTGGTTGTCGTTCGTTAACTGAATTCAAAACGAAAATCCACGAAAAAGTAAAAGATTCGCGAGTAAAATAAGCATTCGTTATTCTCAAGTAAATCTATACGTTTTAGTTTTCCTGTATGAGTATTCTAGTCTGGTTTGTTATTTCATAAAGGTATGCAGACGTTTACGAAATAAAAAATACAACAGAGAAGAAATACAGGAAAAAAAAAAACCAGCTAGCCAAATTATTATGACGTTTCGTCTCCACTTCTTCGCCAGACTACCAACAACAAGAAAAAAAATATAGCAAAAAATTTGTAATGAAGAAGTTCTGCTATTAAAGTTGTCTTACCGCATACGTTCTATGAAAAACCTCACGCACCTACAAGCGATCTCGGCAGGCGGTATCCTAGGTGAGAAGACACAATCAAACAACAGACATGATCGTCTGCTGAAGTTCCCAAGTCCACACAAGAGACGCGGTTGTGCAGACGTTCCAAAACATGAACAAAGATTGTAGCATTCGTGTTTAAAAAAAAATTGTAAAAAAAAAAATTTAACTGATAAGAAAAAAAAATATTCTTACACAAGGTAGACCCGGGGCCGCTAAGTCCTGAGAAGGAACACAACAGGTATCGTCTGCTTCTGGTGTACACACCGCTCTAGAACTGACAACACCAGGTAAGGTTTTTTTTTTTTAGTGCCTGGCTCAGCGCAAATCAAGTGTGAAGGCAGGTTCGATTCTGCTTCTAACAGACAGGTAAGTAGAATGGGGGTGGGGTATAAGGGGTGTGTGTGTGTTTGTAAGCGGGGTACTGTTAAAAAAAAGGGGGAGGTAAAGTTATAGTTTTTAATATATAAAGTTATATAATGGAGTTAGGAGATAACCTAAAAAATTAATTTGTGTGTTCGCGCCAGATGGGAAGTTAATTTCTTATTTGTCGCCGATTTCAGGGAAGTTTGGGGGAGGCTAAAAAAAAAAAAACCCGCGAAAAGACATTAGCGCAGGAGATGGGGCTAAAAATAGAAACACTGTTTTGTTGCGGTGTAGCTTTTGTAGCTTAGGTGTTTGAAGGGATGAGGGTTGTTTTGTAATCGGAGAGTGGGGTTGTGTGGAGAGTGGGGAAAGTGGGGTATAGGGAGAGTGTGAGGAGTGGGGTGTTGGGGAGAGTGTGGGGAGTGGTGTGTGTGTTGAGAGTGTGGGAAGTGGGGGGCGTGGGGAAAATGGGTGTGGGGTCAGGGAAGAGTTATGGTGTGGGGAGAGTGGGGTGTGGGGAGAGTAGAATGTGGGAGAGGAACGTGTAGGGGAGTGGGGGCTGGGTTGTGGGAAGAGTTGAGGTATGGGGAGAATGGAGTGTGAGGAGTATGAGGTTGGGGGAGACTTGTGAGTGTGGGGATAGTGTTGTGTGGGGAGTGGGGTGTGGGGAGTGTGTAATGTGGGAAGAGTGGGGTTTGGGTAGGTGAGGTGGTGTGGTGTGGTGTGGGCACGGGGGAGTGGGGAGTGAGGTGGTGTGGACACCAGGGAATGAGGTGGGACGATGTGTGGTTAGATGAGGTAGTGTGTGGGCAGGGGGTGCAGATGAGTTGTTGTAGGGTTTAGGGTGTATACACTGGGGTATTTGGAGGTGGGTAGGGGCGTGGTTAGGTTGGCTGTGGTAGAAAGGGGAGTCGGTAATGGTTAGCTGGTGAGTATGTAATGGTAATCTGGGGTGTAAGTAGACAGGTAAATGTAAAACTACCGAGCAGGTAACATTTTTAAAGCAGCGTTTTCGTACGTTGGCCAGATAAAACTTTCACGGTCTACAGTTGGCTAGATAAAACTTGCACAATTTAACATTGGCTAGATAAAACGTGCACAATTTAACGTTGACCAGATAAAACTTGCACAATTTAACGTTGGCCAGATAAAACGTGCACAATTTAACGTTGGCCAGATAAAACTTGCACAATTTAACGTTGGCCGGATGAAACTTGCACAATTTAACGTTGGCCAGATAAAACTTGCACAATTTAACATTGGCCAGATAAAACTTGCACAATTTAACGTTGGCCAGATAAAACTTGCACAATTTAACGTTGGCCGGATGAAACTTGCACAATTTAACGTTGGCCAGATAAAACTTGCACAATTTAACGTTGGCCAGATAAAACTTGCACAATTTAACGTTGGCCAGATAAAACTTGCACGGTCTACAGTTGGCCAGATAAAACTTGCACAATTTAACGTTGGCCAGATGAAACTTGCACAATTTAACGTTGGCCAAATAAAAAAAAACACACCAACATTTCCTCTACCTGAAGCCGGGGTAAGTGAGCTACACTAACACAAGTTAACTGTGAAACCGATATTTTGACACTGAGCGATTTGTGCGAGAACCCCACCCTAAACTCTCTCATAAGACACGTATTTTTCCATTTATGTTTCTGTGCTATTTAAAATAATAAATGGTTTAACTAAGTTTTTGATATACACTAATACAGAGAGTTAAAGCGTTTAGCTATAAAACCAGTTCATGGACACGATAAATGCCCACATGTGATTTTCCGCCAGTCACCATATGGTTTGAACCTTAAAACACTTGTTTTAATTGATGTGGTAATAACAAAGTAATTAGTAAGTAAAAAAAATAAATAAAATATCAAGCTTAAGTTCTACTATTGAGGCTATGTGTGTGCATATGTTGACTGTTTGGTCAAATAGAATTTTAAGGTTGTGATTTTTTTATTGATTTAAAACGTGTGCGATGATTTATTTATCAGATTCAATTAACTTGAAGCAGGTGCAGATAAGGTAAAGAGTTAATACATATCTAGTGTGTGTGTGTGTGTGCACGTGTTGTTGTTTTTTAATCAGCCGGCGCATGTTGGTTTAGGGGATGAGTGGTGGAGCACACCGCTACTAGCCAGAGTATCAAGTTCGGTTCTCAGGGTTCACGTCCTGATACGTCACTGAGCTCACTCAGTTGTGGTGAGTACCTAACCAGTGTTGGGGCAGAATAAGGCGAAAGGGCATCGTATTGATAACACAAGCACTTAATAACCCGAGGTAGTGAAAGAAAAACATTACCTATACACTTTATATGATACAAGGACCTTGATGCATGGGTAGGCCAGTGGCGTAGCGAGGTCGGGTGTCACCCGGTGCGGTCCGCACCCCCGCCTCCCCCCCTCGCTACGCCCCTGGGGTAGGCACATATGGATCATTGTACATGCTAGGCGATAAAAATATGTTTATATGTAGGATACGATTTTTAACCAGTTTGTTTTAGCATCTGCGAAAATTATATAGCAATAAAAAGTGGGAGGGGTGGGGTGGGGTGAGGGGATGAGGAGAAATAATTAGTATAGTTTAATTAAGAAACTGCTTTAGAGTAAAAATAAATAAATAAAGGTAGCTTTAAAGTCTTATTTGGGGGCGGGGGGGGGGGGGGGGATAGAGGGGAAGTAAACAAATAAGTAAACTATCCCTTCATATGCCGAGGTCTATGAATCAGATAAACTCTACTTCATCTGCCCATGTGTCGGGGTACTAACGGGATTAAGAAGAAGAAGAAACAAATAGCTGACCTCGATCAGTGCTGAAAGCTACAAGAAGCAGAGAGAGGCTTGTCAGGTGGAAAAGCTATCTGCTGTTGTAATGTCTAAGGGACGGAACTGTGTATTTGAGAAATACGAAATACCAAACATTGTTACCCCCCTTGAAATAAAAATTGACGGCGCTTTTGAAATCACGAAATGGCAATTGTTGTGCTTAATAATAGAAGAAGCGTCTAATATATTTAAAAAAAATATTTTATTTTAAACCCATATAGGAAAATAAAGTTAGTAAGTGTAAGTTCCGCAATGAAGCTAATTACATTTTCATGTAAGTCGTGGTGACGGGTTGAGGTGCTACACAGAATACACATCAAAATACAAATAACAACATAATATTACTCTAGAAATTTAATATATTTTATTGTTTCTAATGTTCTAAATTTAGCATTTGTTTTGCGATACTTTTCAGTTAATAAAAGGCACTAGCGAAGTTAATAAGTGTAAGTCCCGCAATGAAGGTAATTACATTTTCATGTAAGTCGAGATGACTATTTGGGGTGCTACACAGAATACACATCATAATACAAATAACTACATAATATTACTCTAGAAATTTAATATATTTTATTGTTTCTAATGTTCTAAATTTAGCATTTGTTTTGCGATACTTTTCAGTTAATAAAAGGCACTAGCGAAGTTAATAAGTGTAAGTCCCGCAATGAAGGTAATTACATTTTCATGTAAGTCGAGATGACTATTTGGGGTGCTACACAGAATACACATCATAATACAAATAACTACATAATATTACTCTAGAAATTTAATATATTTTATTGTTTCTAATGTTCTAAATTTAGCATTTGTTTTGCGATACTTTTCAGTTAATAAAAGGCACTAGCGTGGTTCTAAATGTCTGTAACATTGTTCGCACAAACGTTAATAGTTCATTATCCCCCGAAAAAGTATTAGTTTTCATAAACATCGATTTCGTCACTTTTTGAGAGACCCCCGTTTTCGTATACGTCAATTTCGTCACATTTTGAGAAGCCTTTATTTTCGATGCCACCAGTTTTGTCAGATTTTGACAAGCCTTTATTTTCAATGTCCCCAGTTTTGTCACAATTTGACAATCCTTTATTTTCCATGCCGCCAGTTTTGTCACAATTTGACAATCCTTTATTTTCAATGCCACCAGTTTTGTCACATTTTGAGAAGCCTTTATTTTCCATGCCGCCAGTTTTGTCACAATTTGACAATCCTTTATTTTCAATGCCACCAGTTTTGTCACATTTTGAAAGACCGTCATTTTCATACACGTCAATTTCACCACATTTGGAAAAAACGCTGTTGTCATACACAAAAACTGGGTTGATTGTTCCAACAGGTCTGTGGTGGGCTGGTGGGGGTGGGGCCGACTGGTCGTTTAGCTCCTTACGTTGTACTAAATTGATGGGAAAGTTAGACTTTGGCTGGACGTAATGGTCACTCGGCCTCTGAGATTGTTCTGTCACCTTGGTCTTCTTGGAGGTAGGTTGGATACACTTTGCACCTTGTTTCGGAGTTTTCTTGTTCTTTAAGACAGGAAGGTTGGAAGTTGGGTGGACATAGTGGTCACTTTCCTTCGGAGTTTCCTTATGTTTATCTACAGAAAGGTTGGAAGTAGGGTGGACGTAGTGGTCACTTTCTTTAGGAGTTTTCTTTTTCTTCAGGAAAGGAAGGTTGGAAGTAGGGTGGACGTAGGGGTGACTTTCCTTCGTAGTTTCCTTATGTTTGTCTACAGGAAGGTTGGAAGTAGGGTGGGCGTATTGATCTCTCATCTCATTTACCTTGTTATCGTTCTCGACAGGGCAGTTGTACAGATCGTCCATGTCCACAGAACTACTTTTCTTCACAATTTTGTTATTGGAGTACATGGTATCTACTTCCGGCGGAAGCTGCGTGGCTTGTTTCTCTTCAATTTCCGGTTTTTCTTGTCCTAGTTTTCCCTTTGGCTGAGAATCTGTGACAGTTTTTTCTTCTGATATCTGGTCCAGACTGGTCAGTCCTGTGTCCGGTTTCTTGACCTTTTCCTTGCTTGAGGTGATGCTTGTAGCACTCTCTGACCACAGCATGTCTATATAAATATAAAATACATTTACTTGACAGTTAAATAACTAATTTAAAGACTAATTTTAGAAAATTATTTCTCTTATTTTCATTACTAAAATTGACGGGAAAAGAATAAGGGTATGAGGGGGGGGGGGGGAAGAGGGAATTGGTATAAAAAGTGGGGAATATGAATACTGAGATACGTCTGTATGAATGGGGGGTGGGGTGGGGAAGAAGCCCCTGTAGCAGAATGTTGACTTGTGTGTCTGGTATGTATGGGGGTGGGGTGGGGTGGGGGAGAAGCCCCTGTAGCAGACGTAAAGATGACGTGTGTTTACTCACCCCTAGCCAGCATACCGCGGTACAGACGTTCGATCAAGCTGAGAGTTCCAGAATTCTCAGACTTGTGCAGATTCTCATGATCGATTTTAGGCGAGGCTCGGATTCTCCTGCAGTACACCGCGATACCTACGCCGACTACTGTGACGACTATGACAACGGCGACAGCGATACCGATTACCACGCCGATACTGGAAGTTGACTTCGTATCGACTGTGGGTAGACCTGTGAAAATAGACATCGATTTTTGAAATCCAAACAACTTCAAGTTACTTGGATCACAAGATAATGTGTTGTGACAAAACAATGTAACAATGTCACAACATTGTGACAAAATAAAACAGCCGTCTACCTGTTACACAATCTTCACCAGTGCGACCGTCTCCACATCCTTCCACATGGGATCCGTTCCCGCGATCAGCATCTTCTACGCAGGACGAGCCGTTCAGGTTGCTGCAGTTCTGACCATGGGTGATGTTGTCAACACCAACCGGCACGTTGTCGACACTAACCGGCACGTCTAGAAAATGTACTATGATTTAAACCTATATCAATACCTACCACGACTCAACTACTTAAAGTACCACATATTTAAGTTTAAACTTTAGTCAAATACCAGAAAAAAACGTCGGAAACTATTTAGGAGGAAACAGCGGTTTAAAGAGTTTCCGGTAAATATACATGCATATAGAGAGCTACGTTAAAGTTTACGTTGCTGTTTTAAAATAGAAACGGTAATGTTTTAACATGAAGTGTTGTACGTATGTTTTCTTCATCCTTTCGAAATAGTGTATTCTGGGACTAGCGGTCCTAGTTGATTGCAGATTGCCGGCATGCGTTTAGAGAATTTTTGACTGTGTCTGTCTATACGTCTGTATGAATATGTGCACACATAGCCATAACATTGGGTGTGT